GCACAGATGGCTCTGTCGTGACGTGGGGAAGATGTGTACACGGAGGCGACTCCAGTGGAGTGCAGAAGCAACTCAAAGGCGTGCGGCAGATTCAAGCGTCACTAGAAGCCTTTGCGGCGCTGCTCGACGATGGATCTGTCGTTACTTGGGGCAAATGCAGTTCTGTGCCTGTGCAAAACGTCACCGCCATCCAATCCTCATCGAGGGCTTTTGCAGCCATTCTGACCGACGGATCCGTTTTTACATGGGGTGAAGACTTCAGCGGAGGCGACTCTAGCGCGGTGCAGGAACAGTTGTGCAATGTATCGGCCATCCAATCGACGACGCATGCGTTTGCAGCGATCCGCACAGATGGTTCCGTGGTTACATGGGGTGGGGCTCGATATTCTGGTGCGGACAGCAGTGAAGTGCAGAAACGGCTGAAGGACGTTAGAGAAATCCAAAGTAACCGCGGAGCCTTTGCAGCGCTTCTACGCGATGGCTCCGTCGTAACCTGGGGCTGTGGCCTTCATGGTGGCAACAGCAGCAAAGTGCAACATCAGTTGACAGATGTGGAGCAGATCGCAAGCAACTTCAATGCTTTCGCTGCCATTAAGGCCGACGGCACGGTTGTATCATGGGGCTTCCCAGAGCGCGGTGGCGACAGCAGTGCCGTGCGAGATCAGCTCAAGAATGTGCGGGGTATCGCAGCCTCCGCTCTTGGTTTTGCTGCCGTTCTTGACAACGACCAAGTCGTGAGCTGGGGCGACTGGGTGGCGCGGCCCTTGACTCCACGGTGAGCCGTGCGGGCTGTGAATTCTTTGCTCTGGCTAGCTTCCACCGTTGCTTGCTTGCTTCGACGCTGTCTTGCGAAAGAGCAAGCAAGCAACAACGACGCCGCCACGAGAAGAAAATCGCTTGTTTGTTGTTTCTTCTGCTCGTGGCAGAATGACGCTGTCTTGCGAAAGTGCGGCTGCTTGGGCGGGGCAACCCTGCTCCTGAGGTTGCCTGCACTGCCCGGTCGCTTTGGATTCGTCGAGGCTGGGAAGGTCGGTCTAACAGAAACCTCTTCATTTCCTGAGTTTCCCACTGCGGACTGCTGGGCTTGGTTGGTTCAAGTTCAGAATTTCCGTTGTGTGGCCGAAAGGTCTTCGGGGTTCTGCTCAACCCGGTGTCCCGGTTTAGCTTCGTTGCCCACTGCTACTGTTTGGATTCTTGAATGATCCGTTCTTCCTCTTGAGAAGTCGCCATTGAGATGGCACACTTTGCAACCCTTCAGACGAGCTTAGCCAGCACCACTCCAAATGCGCGGCTTGTCTTGGCGGGACGGTGCCTGCGGCCTGTGCAAGCAACCTGCGAGTCCGTTGTGTTCGCCTAGGCAGCACTACTCCAAATGCGCGGCTTGTCCAACCCGCGAGTCCGTCGTGCTGGCCAAACGAGAAGCTGGCTCTTGACGTTCTGCCCTGCAGTCATCTTGGCTGCCTCGCCACAGAATGTGGCCGCTTGGAGGCTTGGACCTGCTCTGGTGGTATCAGCATGATGACAGCCGCGATGGCGCGGATGATGGTTCCTGTGGAGCGCCGCTAGCACAAGGGGTGGCACCGTCTGCAAGTCTCCACAGGGATTGGCCACCGTCGAGACGCGGGAGCTCCTCGATTGCTTGGCGCGTTAAATACTTTGCGGCATCTGGCGGGTTTCCTAGTGAAGTAGGGTGTTTCACTTCGGAACGGTGTTTTTACCAAATCCCGAATGACTGCACTGCCTTTCGCTGCTGGAATCCCGGCGCCACGGATCGCGCAGCAGCTCAGCGAGGTGGACCCGTTTGTGGTATAGGATAGATCTTAAATCCCCAATCATCCTTTGAGAGACCCGTGTTGTGACTGCCGCTTGGGAATGTTTGCCAGATGCCGCCGGGTTTCTTCTTCTGAGATAGTATACCTTGGGTTGATACACAGGGTGTCACCGAAGCCTGGGGCTCTCGATGAATGTCTGCAGCTAGAATCAATCTTTCTGGAGGAGGCTCTGGACCACCATGATCCCTGCATTAGTCCTACTACTAGGCCTAAGGACCCATGAGCCCCTGGCGTTCCCCTGGAGTCTGTTGAATCGGCTAAGTAACATACGCTGGCCTGTTGTGGTTTGAGATGAAGAGCGAAACCCTAATTCCCGACTCCTTTCAGAGACCAGTGTTGCGACTTCCGTTTGGGGATGTTTGTCAGCTGCCGCTATGTTTCTTCTTCCATGATACTATACCCTGGGTTGGTACAGTGCGTGCTATGGAGGCTCGGGGCTCCCGATGAACCTTTGCAACTACAACCAGCCATTTTCACAAGGCTCCGGACCGCCGTAACTCGTGTATGACCTCTCCCAGCACCTCACCAGGCCACCTCTCCGATGCTGACGACGAAGGCCGGGGAGGGTCGCCTGGGAAGAGTAATCCGGTCTAGGTCCAGGTTCCTCCCGCGCTGGCTCTCCACCCCCAACCCGACTCCGAAATGCTTCGTGATGCAGTGTAAGGTCTGTTGTTCTGCATAGATCGAAGTCAAATCGCAGGCTTCTGTGGTCTCACTTGATCTTGCGAACTCCCACGAACCAGTTGTATGTGTGTATGTGTGTGTGTGTGTGTGTGTGTGTGTGCTAAAGAGACAACGCATTGCACGAAGCGTGCATTTATGAAGCACATGGATCCGTCAACGGAGCAGGAGTGCACCATGAAGTTGTGAGGTACCGTGGGCGTCTCAGGCCGATTGACAATCGAAGGCTGCCGAGCGAGAACTATGATGGGCGAACCGTCAACGGCAACTTCAAGTGCTCGCATTGGTACATTGGTGCGGCGGAAGCGTAGTGATTCCCAATGCCTCGGTGTTCTCCTCCTGGCCGCGACGTCCTGTGAGCAGACAAAGGCTCATCGAGACGCAGGAGCTCCTCGATTGCGTGGCACGTTAAATACTTTGCGGCATCTGGCGGGTTTCCTGGTGAAGTAAGGTGTTTCACTTCGGAACGGTGTCTTTCCAAATCCCTAATGACTGCACTGCCTTTCGCTGCTGGAATCCCGGCGCCACGGATCGCGCAGCAGCTCAGCGAGGTGGACCCGTTTGTGGTATAGGATAGATCTTAAATCCCCAATCATCCTTTGAGAGACCCGTGTTGTGACTGCCGCTTGGGAATGTTTGCCAGATGCCGCCGGGTTTCTTCTTCTGAGATAGTATACCTTGGGTTGATACACAGGGTGTCACCGAAGCCTGGGGCTCTCGATGAATGTCTGCAGCTAGAATCAATCTTTCTGGAGGAGGCTCTGGACCACCATGATCCCTGCATTAGTCCTACTACTAGGCCTAAGGACCCATAAGCCCCTGGCGTTCCCCTGGAGTCTGTTGAATCGGCTAAGTAACATACGCTGGCCTGTTGTGGTTTGAGATGAAGAGCGAAACCCTAATTCCCGACTCCTTTCAGAGACCAGTGTTGCGGCTTCCGTTTGGGGATGTTTGTCAGCTGCCGCTATGTTTCTTCTTCCATGATACTATACCCCTATACCCTGGCTTGGTATAATGCGTGCTATGGAGGCTCGGGGCTCCCGACGAACCTTTGCAACTACAATCAGCCATTTTCACGAGGCTCCGGACCACCGTAATCCCTGGGATGACCTCTCCCGGCACCTCCTCAGGCCGCCTCTCCGATGCCGGTCTTTGGGACGTTGCTTGCTTGCTTCGACGCTGTCTTGCGAAAGAGCAAGCAAGCAACGACCCAAACACGAGAAGAATGTGCGTGTGTGTAAAAAAAGCCAAGTCTTCAGGAAGATTTTAAGATGTGCCATGGCTGATCAGAGACCAGTCAGTCACCTGTGACTCTGTCCTCATTCGCAGCTCTATTAATTATTGTGAAGTCAGTGAAGCTTCTTGCAATAACGCCATTTTCCGCAGCTGGTGTTTCCGCTGGTACAGTGAGGACGATGTGAGGCGTTCCACCCTTCATAACTTGAGAGGCAGGAATGCCAAGGACGAGTGGCCAGTTCTTGGCCAGGCACATTTCCATATATATAATATATATATATATATATATATATATATATATTTATATATTTATATGTATAGTATCCATATATTATGCATTTGCCAATCCCTCTGACAAGTTGCCACTTGACCTGTTGAGTCAGGCTCTGAGCCCTCACGCTAGGCGGATCTTGATTAAGCGTTCCCACACACAGGGCATAGAGTGAACTACATCGAGTCAAGTGTATGGTACAAAGATGACTCCACGACTCCGTGACTCTATCTCACTACAACTCTATGACTTTATGACTCATGACCCATGGACTCTATGACTCTTGATTCTGTGACTTTACGATCCTATACACTGACTCTATCTCACTACGACTCTATGACGCTATGTCACTGCAACTCTATGACTTTATGACTCATGACTCATGGACTCTATGACTCTTGATTCTGTGACTTTACGATCCTATACACTGGATCTATCACATAGCCCCACACTCTTCGCTGATGATGCTTTCGGGCCAATTGTCTTCTAGTGATTTTTTTTGAGCCTGTCAACGGCACGCAATACCCTGAAGCTGTGTTGCTTGTGGAGGTCAAGGGCACCTCCTCTCGTGGACGCGGTGGAGGTGGAGACGCAGAGAGCACTTCCTCTGGGCTCCCCAGCTCGGAGGGGCAGCGACGGCTTGGCGAAGCTTCTGCTGCGGCTAGCAGTCCTTGCCGGTTGCTGCTAACTCGGAGGGCAAGGACGAGCAGGCTGACGACGAGGAGCTTTTGGAAGGCTTGGAGACTTTTAACAGCGTTGCTACTGGGACGCCCTCTACCTTGGAAGTGGAGGACGCGGAGGCTGAGGCTGTTTGCCCTCCTCCTAAGCCCCTTAAGAGGAAGCCTCCTCTCAGAGTTGGGTCTGGGCGCCAAGCCCACTGCGGCTAGAAGTGCCCTGAGTGCACATGTGGCTACGACACTGGACGCGGCGGTGGATGGTCCCAGCGTAAATGGGCACATGTCCACCAGCAACACCCGGACATGGTGGAGGAGTTGAGCCGCAGGGAGGCCAAAGCTTTGCTGGTCCCCTGGTCCCCAACTGTTTGTCGCGGTGTCCAGTTCCCGGCTGCGGTCTTGGTCTTCTTGCGGACGAAGCTCGTTGCAGTCTTCGCCACCGAGCTCGCACTGACCATGGCAAGGGGGCGCGCCCGGACGTTGACCTCAAGGAGTTTTGCTTGAAGAGCGCCGACAACTCTGTCAAGGCTATACTGTCGCCAAGCGCAACAAGGCGGCTGCGAACCGAGTGCAGGGACTCCAGGTGGCACGCAGCAAGGGCCACACTCCAGAGTGGTTTGGCTGTCCGTCCCCGAATGCGGACCAGAAACATTTGATCTACCGCATCTTTTGCACCACCTGCACGCAGAGCACGGTCAAGGCGTCGGACTCCGGTCTTCTCGGGTACCAAGCGGGGCAAGCTTTTGGAGCGACTGAAGGCTTACTTGCAGCAGGAGGACGTCGACGACAACAACCGGCGCGCCACGCGGCGCAGTGTGGAGGTCCTTGTGAAGCTGCTCTTGCAGAGTGGCGCCAAGCGCCCAAGAAGAGTGCAATTCTTAAGCTGTCGCTGATTTGGCTGCTTACTGCAAAGCGCGTTGCCTCTGCTTACAGGAGACGCGCCTTGCTGAGGAAAGTTACACTGCTACTCACCACGCTTTCAAACTTTTGGGTTGGTCGTTCTTTGTGGGACCGCAAAGTTTATCTACCTCTGGTCAGATCACGGATTGGCCTTGCCAACGGCTTCGATCAGCTTCCTTGGGAGTTGGAGTTTGAGCACCGCGTCATGGCTGTCAAGCTCTCCCGCTCTCGTCAACGACCTCTTCTTCTTCTTCTGAACGTCTACCTTCCGGCGGCGGACTTCGCTCTCGGCACGCGCATCATGGAGAAGCTCATGGAGTGGGCCGGTGGCTTCTACTGGTGAGGAGTGGGTCATCTTCAGCGACTTCAACCGGGAGCAGCAGCAGTACCCGATCAGTCACTACCTGGCGGCGGGCTTCGCTTGCGCTTGCGATCCTCCTCATACGACGATGGGCGCCCGCAGGGACGAGGAGGGCAATTTGGAGCGCAAACGCATCGATTATGGCTTCGACAGGTCATCGCTGGAACCAGAATGCAAGGGGGTGGCGGACCACGACTTGGTGAGCTACAGCTTCGGCGCCTGCCAGTTCACTGTTCCCTATATACACTTGGCCTCCCCGGTGCTCTCTTGGTGCAGAGGAGGTCTGGGAGGAGGCTTGGCTGCGCAGCTGGCGCTTCGTGGACGACGAGTTCTGGCAGGTGGTAAGCACTGCTGACGCCCTGCTGTGCTTGGCGTGTTCTGTCAGACTTTGCTGAGGAGCAGCAGCTTGTGCTTAAAACTGCTGGGCTCCCTCGCGGCTGCGCGGGTAAACCGGGGCAGGCAAACCACACTGCAAGCGTCGGACGCCTGACTACTAGTCTAGACTCTGTGCGAGAAGCAGCTTTTCGCGGGCAAAGCTTGCAGGGCCGCTGAAGCCGAGCGCTACCTCACGCCGCAGTTGGAGGCCCATGCAGCTCAGACTGGACTTGCGCCGGCTCTTGGCCAAGTGCCCACAGTTCAACACGTGACGCGCAGTCTCTCCCCCACTCAGCTCAGCGCGGCACTTTTGTGGCTCTGGCGGACGAGGAGGCTTTGCGTGCCAAGCAGGCGAAGGCTCAAGTGCAGGGCGACGTTGGCCGCATGGCAAGCTGGGTCAATAACAATCTTCAGGAGAGTCCACTGCCGTGCAGGACTTCGCCGACTTCGCCCAGGACCCTAGCCCTATAGTAGCCTGCAGGCCCATGCGGACCGGAGCCGTGAAACTTTGGAATCTCTCTGGTCTCACACAGACGTTCCGACGGAGGCGGCCTTCCACAGGGTTCTTCACAGTTCGGCTCCTTTGCAGCCTGCTACTTTGACCGCTCTGAGCCTCCGCCGCAGGCTGCTCGCAAGGCAGCTGGCAGCGATGGTTGGAGTGGTACGCACTTCGCGGCCCTCCGCTTCCGTTTTTCGAGTCGCTGGCCCAAATTTGGAACCTGGTTCTAGATGGCGCTCCTTTTCCGGAGCTGTGACTTTCTGTCAAAGTTGTGGGCGTGCCGAAACCAGAGGGCGGCACTTGGCAGTTAGCTCTGGCCTCTCTTGTTTGGACGCTTGGGGCCACTGTCCTCCTCCGCGACTGGACGCAGTGGCAGCAACGCACTTCCCCTCGGAGCTGTGTGGCAGCATCCCTGGTCGGCAAGTTGAGGACGTGCATCAAGCTTTGAATTGCAACAGACCCCGCCAGCGCCAGGAGCAGTGCGCAGGTTACAAGGCTGCCCTCCGCAAGTGCTACGACCAGGTGGTGCCGGAGTTTGCCATCCAGGCTTGGGAGCACCTCGGTGGCTCTTTGCGGATTGCTAGCTTGCCACCTCTCAGTCAGTACATGGTGTTTTCGTGAGGGACCCGGTGATCGGTGCGCAGTCTCTGCTTCAAGGCTGCCCTTTCAGCGGTGCTTTACTCAACTCGCTCACCGCAGTCTGGCTTAGCTGCTTTTGCGCATGTTCTTTACATGAACCAACAGAGGTGGGTCGCAGTTCAGGGCCACTTTCACAAGGAAGAGCTCCAGACGGGCTCCTTGCTTCAGGGCTGCCCATGGAGCCCGGTGTTGGCTAACTGCTGTGTGGCTTTGTGGGCGACTCGGGCGACCGCTGCAGCGCCGTCTGTTCAGGTTCAAGTTTTCTTGGACGATCGCACTCTGCTGCTTGCCCGCAGCCGTGATCCCGTCGCTGACCTTCTGCGGGCTCACCAGGCTGGCAGTGTTGTTGACAGTGCGCTGGGCCTTTCTTTGCACCAGGGCAAGAGCGAGAGCTTTGGAGGTGACCAGGTCGTTAGCTGCTCGAGTTCGCTGACGAATTGGGCGTCCCTCAAACGGAGTTCAAGTTTCTTGGTGCTCGCTACCGTACCGCGGGCGGCCAAGTCTTCCAGCAGGCCCAGCTCTGTGAGGAGCTCAAGGAGAGGGGACGCCGCATTCGCTTAGGCTTGTCGCCATCATGGTTGTGGCCAAGTTTCGTCATTCGGTGGGGTGGATGAGGCTCAGCAAAAGGTCACTACTTGAACCAGTGTCGTCGAGACCACTGTTTGGGGCAGGCCTACTCTTGGGGGCAGGTCCGCCGCCAAACTGCAAACGGGAGTTGGATTTTCTTCGTAGTTGTCGTATAGATTGTATAAATTATACTGTATAGATCTATGGGGAGCTAGCACTTGTTCAATCTTATTCATAGTCACTTTTATCATACCAACAATACTCTTAGCAATACTTTCAGCCTTTAAATATGTGTTACCATATTTCGTCAACCTGTTTACAGCAGATCACCGACCGCACTGTACACACGGTTTTCTCGATTCAGTTGACTATTCTATAAACGACGCAAACGTAAACAGAATTCCAAAGAGCTAATTGTGTGTAAATCTTATACTCTAGCCTTTGTTACCACTGTACCCACAATGCACACATAATGGGGGTATAGCAATATCGGGTAAAGATGAACTTATAAACAGATGTATGCGTTGTATAGATGACGATGTCAAAAGCCAAGTGGTGTTTGACCAGGAGTACATGGACAGATGTGTGTGAGTTGTACATCCATTTGTTAAAGGTTGGGTGTCACAAGCAATTGAAAGTTAATGTGATCATCTGTACGCAAGATGATTATTCCACATTACGAAGATAAGTATAAACAGAAAATCCAGCTTATAACAACGAATGTGAAATTCATAGGCTGCACTTGTGTTGGTACTCCATGAACTATTGCCCCATCTGTGCACAGTGCATGACATGATTATTTTTTGCGTTTTAAGATACAAACACAGAAACGAACAACTGAATACGAAGAAAAACGGGGCTTGTTTAATCGATTATAACTGCAAGTTTACACGTACCAGCTAGAACAGGGATTATCATACACGCCGTTTCCTGATATATGATGCGTGCATTAATACATCAATTTGCGCACATACATACCTTAAAAGCCACTACACACATGTATGAGCTAACGGATCGAAGTTGAAGTTGAACTGGTAGCCGGTAGCCGCCTCGCCGAACTGCGCGAGCTCGTGGGATTGCACCAAGACGCCACACACAGCCAGTGCAAGCAATTAGCCGTCCCACTCCTCCAACAGTTGTTGTTGTTGTTGTTGTTGACAAGGACCGTGTCACCTAGCGCGGAGTGGCACGGAAAAGAGGCACCCCCAAGAAAAAAGACCACGTGTCCACAGACAGGGCTCTCACCCCTCACTTCTCGCAAGCAGAACAGGGTTCACACCTTGCACTTCTCGCACGTTGCGCTTCTGAGCCATAAGCTTCTTGAACAGCTCGTCGTAATCGGCCGTAACATCATGCTGTCGCCTCAAAGCAGTGAGACTCCACTGGATGGCCTTAGCCCACCGAGCCTTAAGACCAGCAATCCATTCTGCGCACAATGCGAATGCTTCGAGCACTCTCCATCAGCCAATACGTTAAGGCTTCTGGCGGCATCGCTCGCGCACCAACTCCGATCACTCTTCTTTCCATGAGAAGGGACCCACTCGCAGCTGGAGCATAGGAAGGGCCGCGCAGATGGCCTCTTCGAACTCGGCGAGGCCACGCCTGCCCTGCGCGCAAGTTCGCAGGCCCAAGCAACGCTGAATTAAAGCTTGGCAATCGCAAACCACACGGACGGCAGTCCCCTTGGCAGCAGAGGTCGCTCCGGCGACCACCATCAAAGCGAAGCGCTCCGCAGCAGCAGACGTTTGCTCACGCCCCGGAACCAAGCCTGACGCAATGACCCGGCCCTCCGCAACCACCGCCCATGACGAGCATGCCCGGCACCAGCAAGGCACCACCATCTGTTGCCTCAGACTTGCGCTCTTAACGTGGTTGGGCACTCAAAGCTCAGGTGGTGGCACGAAGGGTTGGCCAAACCGCACGGTGAGCACAGTCTTTGCCCGTCCACTGCAACTTAACTTGAAGCCGTCAACGGCCGCCCCTCCTGCAGTGTGCAGGTGCCTGAACGTAGGCCCTCTGCCAAAGCATCTGTGAGCCGAGAAGTCGTAGTAGGTGAGGTCGGGCAGGGGAAGGGCAGTTTGGGTGTCGTTCAGCCACTGCACCTGCTCATAGGCCTCCTTAATCTCCGCCCGGGCCAGACATCTCAGCGGCTGTGAATGAGCTAGTGCGCGTAGACCACACCGCCTTTTCAAGACGAAAACCAAGCACGTGAAGGGCCCTGTCGACCAGAGGGCCTCGCGGGCGCAAAGGCTCGCAGCAAAGCCTGCGCCACTCCATACGAAGCATAGTGAGAACCATGACAAACTCAGGATGGATGAATGTCATAGTGCGCAATGTGCCAAAAGAGCACCTTGTTAGAGTGCTGCTGTGTGCTTGCACTAGTTATTGTGAAGTTGTTTGCATGCACATGTGAGTTTGGCCTTTGTGTACCGCCGTCGTGTCTCATCAAAACAAAAAGCGAACATCCTCCGACATTGGACCTGTGTCGCTGCAGTTCCTTTTCTTCCCCATCGTTCCTTCCGTAATCCAATTTTCTGCCCCCCCAGAAAGTCTTGCACCATGTAGACGAGTGCGCTGGTGTACTTTTCGTGACGTGGAGTGGGTTATTTGAAGTATACGTCGTAGACTACCCCTGGTGGGGTAGTGAGACGGGTGTACCCGCGAGTTCCCGGCAAGCGGCATCCGCATGTAGCCAAACGTAGCTATTTTCAGCGGTGTGGGAGTGTGGGGGTGGTGACCACCGCGTAGCTGTTGCGAGCCGTTGCTGGTGTTTAGCTGTGGCGTGCGAGGGGTTGCGAAGATACCAATGTAATATCGAAGTGCCCATGAAATGGAGAAGGAACGACTGCAGCTCATCAATTGCCAATGTATATACATACGTACACACATACATATATACGTACATCTGCACCTATGCATGTATACCAGACAAGCACAGCTGGCCGTCACCAATCTGCCATGTGATCATCAAAGGCTCTAGCTTGGCAGGTCTGTCCACCTCCAAGCATTGGCACTTGCAGTCCCGCCACCCGTTTTTCAACCGCGCGTTGGCTAAGCAGGTGCGCGGCGCTGAGGTCGTTCAGACTAGTGCTGAGCTGCCAGTTCAACAGTGGATGTGGACGTGCCCCATCCCGGGTTGCAACCAAGGCTCGTCGGGCCTCCCGTACCAGGATAACAAGAGGGCCCAAGAAGCACACTCCGCGCTCGTTGTCCTTCCTTTGGCGTAAGGGATGGCCCCGGTGTTAGCAAACAGCAGACTGCCAAACACCAGCGAG